AAAGACTTGTATACACTTGTAATAGCTGAAACGGGGCTATTGACCAAATCATTTGCGTATACTTACTAGAGGTGTGCATCGGATCGGATTGGACATTTATAATCCAACAATTAGCTAATGTTTAAAATCCGATTCGAGTTTTGATAAAGAACTCCGATTCGATCCGAAGAATCCTTCAATAAAATAAATTTCTCATTCAAGTGGAAATATTTAACCAAATAAATATAAAAGCAAGAAATACATGTCAAGAAGCTGACAAAGTGACGTCCAATTGAAGTATCAAACGAATAATGCAGCGACAACCGCGTTGTCGTGGATAATTAATTCATTTTATTTCGAATATCGAAGTCCGATCCGATCCGACTACGAAACAACTTTAGATAGATAGATAGATAGTTTTATTAAATGATAGTTACATTGCAGGTACTACTGAATTGCGTAACTTTACAATTATATAAAAGTCGTTCAATATAGATATAATAATACATAAGAATACTAAAATTTATCTTAATTTACGATTATGTACAGTTAAACTACTAACTATATACAAGTATTGAAATCACCATTTCACTATATGTCATCATAAAGCTTACTACTATGCATTATGAATGACTGAGCATAGCGTTTGGTCTTTGCAGTTGGAATATTAAAAGTTCTACGTTTCCTAAAATAATATTTGGCATTGTTATTTCTCTGCGGTAGTAGAGCATGCAGTTTGTTTTTAGAGTCACTTACAATTGACCTAAAGAGTGATTTAGATAAAGATTCGTGGTGATCATGTATAGATGCTAGGCCAGCGAGCGATAGGGCATCTTCGTAACGCCTTCCTGGGTAAATGCAGGCTAGTGCTCTTTTCTGGATCCTCTCCAGATCTTCTTGGAGATATTTTGGAAGTGAGTAGTGGAATACAGGGCATGCGTAATCGATTGCAGAACGGATACATGCACAGTAATAGGCGACTATTTCTCTTGCTGGGACTTTCGCTCTCTTAAGCTGCACAAGAAAATACTGCTTGCGAGATGCTTTCTTTACTATTTCCTCGATATGATCATTCCACGTAAGGGTGCTGTTAATCGTTACGCCGAGTAGCTTTACCTTGCTCACTGGGATAATGGTGGACCCCTCAACATTGACTGGAGATGGCAAATTCCGAGACCGACTGAAGGTAATAGGTAGCTCTTTACATTTCCTGCAGTTAAGTTGAAGCATGTTCCTTTTTGACCATTCAGATACCTGATCGACAGCCGATTGTGCGTCACTTAAGTCTTTATTTTTGGCTATTACTTCAGATACAGTCGTGTCGTCAACGTATTTCCACATATCAAAGGGGTCTCCAGAAATTGAAAGATCGTTAATCATTATCAGAAACAGCCAGGGGCCTAACTTCGTACCTTGAGGAACTCCTGCAGGTACGGCTCCCCACTCTGAGAAACAGTCCCGTTCCAGTTTAACCCTCTGAGATCGTCCCGATAGAAAACTCATGATCCAATTGATGACGCTGTTGGGAATGTCCAATTGACGAAGTTTCTCAATAAAGCTGGAAATTTCTGTCCTGTCGTAAAGAAAACGAAAACACGCACTAATACCACAAAGGAGGACAGTTAAAAACCAAGATGAAACGAGGATGAGAGTGCGTGAGAGATGGCAGTCACGCGAGTTTGGTTGGCTGTTCTTCATGCTTTAAAACATAGTTGGAACACTCAACAAACCTTATATTTTGTTCATGTAGAGTTTGAAATGTCCGCTGTCCAACTCTCATCCTCGTTGGACCAGGACTTTATACAGAAATTTAAACTTGCATTATGCCCCCTATTTTATTACAGACTTTACTTTGTCAACGCTAGACAATTTTACTCATCAATATAACTGAAACGCGTGTTTATGTCTGGATTAACTGATTGAGCGCTCTTCGCATGCGTGAAAAGACTGGGACTAGCTTTCAAGTTTGGCTTCAAATTTCCAGTTGGAGGTAGCGTTCCATTCTCGTACCCAGAGCCCTTCTTACGCGCGGTCAACCGAGCGCGACGAGGGGCTCTGGCCAAATCCATATCAAAATGGCTTCTGATTGGCCACAACGAAATATATGGTTTATTGTATAAAATATGAATAAAAATCAAGCGCTCCATGAAGCGTTGGTTTCGTTTTGGAGAAAATTGGGAGAAAAGACATTATTAAAGTTGAAAGAACAGCAGTACGAAGCAGTTAGGAAGATTGTTGTTGATAATCGCCCACAAAAGCGGTAGATGTCGCTAATTTTATTTATTTAAATCAATTAGTTGATTGAAATTAATAGGTTGAGACGTGATGTTCTCATAGCAAAAAGTCAGCATATTTATGGCAGATGCTCGTCGTATTTCCAAATCAGTGATTTCAATGATGTGCCATCTGAAGAGAAAATATTAAAGGTTTGAAGAGAAAATATTAAACGATTTAACAGGTTGGCTATGTCGATTGGAGTCTCAGCTGTTGTGGAAGAAGATATATTCCCCAGCCATGCATGGAGTAATACTTGTATTCAAATTCGCGCAGTAATCAAATTCGCGCAGACTGCGGCGATAGGAGCCATAGGCGCAAGAAATTACAACATGAGCGGAAAATAATCTGTGCGAAAAATGTTTGCTGCCGTAGGCATGCACATAAGACAATTGGCCGTCTGTCAACGTTTGCCACGATGCAGAAAATACTGATAGTTAGAAAATAACGGCTTTACAAATTATTTTATACGACATTAGTGTTTAGTCGTGGGTTTCTAGATCATGCTGGAAACATAGCTATACAGAAATATATATCGCTTTTGTGGATCGTAATGATTGCTGAAATCATGAGTGCACAAAGGTCGCAAAGGATGTGTTATGTTTATCAAATAGCATGTAAAGCGGAGCCTTTTGACTGCAGCGATCGAAATTTGATCAGTTATCAACTTCATAATGATCAAAATAGGGATTATTCGTTACATCGGCGTATAAAACACATCTGTTTGTTCAAACTGAACTTTGCGTTTAATATAGCGAAGCATACTTACTCTGCGCGATGGCAAATTCCATAATAGGGATAAAACATTGACGTTGGGCTAAAGCAAATTAATTAATTGTGATACGTATGTGCAATGGTAAGTATTTGATTCTGTCACTAAAAATTTGCGAACAAATTATAGAGTCAAATTAAAAAATTGACCCTCGACATTTTTTTCGACCCTCGACATTTTTTTCGACCCTCGACATTCTACCCTCGCCCTCGACCTATTACCCTCGACCCTCGACCCTCGACCATTAGTCAAACTCCGTCTTATGATGCATTTAATTATAACGTTTCCTTTAATTAATTGCCTCCGGCTCCTGGTCATCTTCTTGCGCTCTGCCTATATCTAGTTCACTTCATTTCGAACGCAAAGTTCTATTAATCTAAATAAAGTTCTATTTAGATATGAAGATGGACATATATAAATATATTCTAGGGTTTGTTGAAGAATATATTTTCAACAGAACAATTATGCCGTGAGCCTATCGCATATTTTTAGGGGTATATATACCAACTTGAGATATTACCTTATGCCTTATATTCTATATATAAAGTTTAATTGTGTTATCAACCTATAAGGGTTCAATAACAATGCATGCAAGCGTATTTGACGTTGCAAATGCAAAACAAATAAATTAAATGCAGTGGGGTACTTAATAACCATCGACACTTAACCACAATTCCAAGCGTAAGCTACCTATATATGATAGAAAAAAGGAAATTGTGAGGAAATTTTTTTCTTTTTTGTCTTTGAAACCCTCATGAGTATCATTCATGCTTTGTGCTCTTGCTTATATTATGTCGCCAGTGAAAACCGGGCTTCACACATTGCATTTTAAATATTCAGTTGAGCATTGGACATCACTTATGATGCTTTTTACTGAACATAATTCGAAATTATTCCACAAATTAAAATTGCTATTTTTAGCTAGCCTGCTCAGCAGCCCCGCATTTGGGCTGAGAGCAGCCGGCTACTTTTTAGCGAAAACCGCAAATTTAGGGCATTTTTCGAATCATTAGACATTACGACTTTTACGCAAGACTTTTTACGCACGGCGAAACACGACTTTTCACCCAGTCCCGCCAAAACTCAAACATAACAGGCGGCATGCATTCAAGGCAGGTAATTGATGTTTGACACGGAATGACCCTCATCATTATCCAACCGTCTTAAACAGATTTTTTTGGGTTTATGTTCTTTTTTTATTCGCTGTTTGTACTTTAAGCACTTATTAATTGCCACCACTTCTTACAATGACTAATTAGTTTTTCACGCAGAAAGACGTCTTGCACTTTTGTTAGGTTTCCATCGGCACACAAATCTGCAGTTACATGGAACGCACTCGAATTTCAGGTCAACTGTCAAAGCGATACATCCTTCTAGCTATTTATGTATTAAAGGCTATAATAACTAAATTTTTTAATTACATGTGCTTTGTATATAATTTGAATTTTCAATTCAGTGGCAGCTGCTACAAGGAGCCCAAGTTTTTTCTGTCCTTTAATAAAAGATAAAAGAAAGGTCGTATGGCGAAATAACATATGATGATACATGCACGTGTCGGCAAAATATAAATACTTCCTATCTTACACGTTCACCATAATCCATGACAACATATCAGTATATCAGTAGTGTTATATAACAGTCACTTCGTTTCCATGGCGTTGGCACGATCTGGGTTGGGACTCTCAACACGAACACCAGTCACGAAACGAAATACACCATCAGCAACACCACGGACAGACGTAAAAGAAAGTCCTAAAACATTTATAGCTCTAAATATTCGAGAAAAAGCGGTCGGATTTTGATTTAAACCCGCCATGTTCAAGTTGTCCTTCGTTCCCAGCCCGAGGCCTAAAAATTCCATGAGCAGCGCGCGAGGACTTCCGCAATTACAGGAAATGTATTTTTTGACTTTTTGAGCCGCGTCTGTATTGACTGATTTCAGCAAGCAAAGACAATTTCGTATCGTTTTTTTTCTGTGTTGGTGTAGTGTACTCAGGTGAATATGATATTTGTGGTGTTACTCTGAGTGTATATCCGCACCGGGCGAGCTTGAAAAATATGCCCGGCCACGGTGGGATTCGAACCTACGACCTTTGGAATACTAGCCCAATGCTCTTCCAACTGAGCTACGCGGTCAGGACGGTTCGAGTAAGTGATATTTCGGAACAGGATCCAGTTCCTTCGATACCAGTGTATTCTATTAATATGATTTTTTCTGTGTTGGTGTAGTGTACTCAGGTGAATATGATATTTGTGGTGTTACTCTGAGTGTATATCCGCACCGGGCGAGCTTGAAAAATATGCCCGGCCACGGTGGGATTCGAACCTACGACCTTTGGAATACTAGCCCAATGCTCTTCCAACTGAGCTACGCGGTCAGGACGGTTCGAGTAAGTGATATTTCGGAACAGGATCCAGTTCCTTCGATACCAGTGTATTCTATTAATATGATTTCTCTAGGGCCCACATTTAATAAGGCGCGTTGCTAATGACGGTGACTATGTTCTCTGATTAAAAATGTTTCAATACAAACTTTCCAGTTTTGACTGCCAGTGCAGTTTTCCTCACAGTTCTGCCACAATCGAAAGCTTGTGTTCAAATCCAACATTTTTAAATCTTTTCCTCAACGTATTTTTAACGTATAAAGCCAAAGTCACTACGCACGACATATATGTTTCATAGTTATATATCATAATATCAATACAGACAATACTGGATGGAAACGCCGAAAATGTTTAATCCTAGTCGGATAGAATTTCGCGGCGGCCTCATGTTTCACGCTGTTGCGTTTATAAATTTAAACTGATAACCTTTGCCCAATATACTCTGTAGCTGTACTCACATGATAATTCTTATTCTCTACATTTACACTAAAAATACAAGTAGGAAAATAAAAACTTAACAAGAACGCAAAAATGAATGAAAGCAAGAATGATTACATATTTCAATATGCTAGCAGTCACTATTCACTAACTGCTATTGCGATATGCCCGTACGAATCAATCACTTGCCCATTTCAGATTTTAATCCTGCTTTCGCGTCTATGACTATAACATCTTTAAAATTTTTCAACGCATTTTAAGCCAAAGTCACTACGCGCGAACGAAAGTGCAAACGAAAATCTTTAATACTAGTCGGATAGAATTGCGTGACATTTGACATATATTACAGTAAAATGTAGTAAACGGCCAAGCAGCAGAACGTTTTATACTAATAACCTTTGCCCAAACCTCAAATATACATGTCTGTAGCAATAATAGACATATGGTAATTTGAATTATGTAGATTTACACACTTTAACAAGAACGCAAAAATAAATAGTGAAAACAACTATGATTGCATATTTCAATATGCTAGCAGCCACTATTCGCTAACTGTTTTAGCAATATGCCCGCACGCAAAACACTTGCCCATTTGATCCATCTGACAAATATTTTTCCAACGGAAAACACGGTGTCCAATGGATCCATTGGGTCCAATGGACAATTCGTTTGGCTATCTCAATGGCCTTGTATATCTACATAACGTCCATGTGCTTGTCATTACGTCATTGAAATACATGGTAATTCACCAACTGAAAACGCAAATGTCCGATGGAAATTTCACTTGTCCATTGGATCCAATGGACAAACAAAATTCCAATGGACATTTGCAAGTCCATTGGATCCATTGGATCCAATGGACAATTCGTTTGGCTATCTCAATGGCCTTGTATATCTACATGACGTCCACGTGCTTGTCATTACGTCATTGAAATACATGGCAATTCACCAACTGAAAACGCAAATGTCCGATGGAAATTCCACTTGTCCATTTGATCAAATGGACAAACAAAATTCCAATGGACATTTGCAAGTCCATTGGATCCATTGGATCCAATGGACAATTCTTTTGGCTATCTCAATGGCCTTGTATATCTACATAACGTCCATGTGCTTGTCATTACGTCATTGAAATACATGGTAATTCACCAACTGAAAACGCAAATGTCCGATGGAAATTCCACTTGTCCATTGGATCCAATGGATAAACAAAATTCCAATGGACATTTGCAAGTCCATTGGATCCATTGGATCCAATGGACAATTCGTTTGGCTATCTCAATGGCCTTGTATATCTACATGATGTCCATGTGCTTGTCATTACGTCACTCAAATACATGGTAATTGACCAACTGAAAAAGCAAATGTCCGATGGACATTCCACTTGTCAATTGGATCCAATGGACAAACAAAACTCCAATGGACATTTCCAGGTCCATTGGATCCATTGGATCCAATGCACACTTTCGTTTGGCTATCTCACTGGCCTTGTATCTACATGATGTCCATGTGCTTGTCATTACGTCACTCAAATACATGGTAATTGACCAACTGAAAAAGCAAATGTCCGATGGAAATTCCACTTGTCCATTGGATCCAATGGACAAACAAAATTCCAATGGACATTTGCAGGTCCATTGGATCCATTGGATCCAATGGACACTTTCGTTTGGCTATCTCCCTGGCCTTGTATCTACATGATGTCCATGTGCTTGTCATTACGTCACTCAAATACATGGTAATTGACCAACTGAAAAAGCAAATGTCCGATGGAAATTCCACTTGTCCATTGGATCCAATGGACACACAAAACTCCAATGGACATTTCCTGGTCCATTGGATCCATTGGATCCAATGGACGTACTTTCGTTTGGCTATCTCTTTGGCCTTGTATCTACATGATGTCTATGTGCTTCTCATTACGTCACTCAAATACATGGTAATTGACCAACTGAAAAAGCAAATGTCCGATGGAAATTCCACTTGTCCATTGGATCCAATGGACACA